CTAGAACCTGAGATGTCCAGTAACAAAAGGACCAGACTACCTTGACTTGTCAGATCCTTTCTGTCACCACAGTCTCTCCTTTCATGCTTTGCTACACCCTTTCATTCCTAAATGGGGAAGAGAACTAGGGTTGCTAACCATCCTTTCATCTCTGCAGGCCTTAGCTAGCAATCGCATGAACATCCATCTTGCAAAAGCCATCACCTGCTGGCTAGGGGCAATTACATGTCTTTTGAAGCAGGTGGCTTCATTGGGGAGCTGTGGGCTTGGAGAAACCACGCTGTTAGAGCCCTTGGTCCAGTGAGCACCCTTAAAATGTGATTGTCAACAAAGCTACAAGGAATCTTGCGTTAGTACATCCTATGAAACCTGCCACTCACCTCCCTGCAAGAGTCAGACTGGGAGCGTATTTTCATATAGTATCCCTGAGCATTAGGCTTCAAGCAGTAGATAAATCACATAAATATGCAGATAAATATCTTCAGATCGGGAAGATCAGAAACCTCTGGATTTCACAACTTGGTTCCTTGGGTCTCCTTACTCAGAAGCGTGTCTATTTAACAGCTTTTGAGTTTTTCTAAGGGTTTCTCCCACCTTCTGGTAGCCCTTTAAGGTAGTCCAGATTACTAGCTCTATCTGTGGCTCTTCCTCCTGTCTCCAAAGGTCATTCCCACCTACTATGACACCTTCTCAGAAACCGAATGATCTTGATCTGGAAATTCCAGAGTCTCTCAAGATGAGCAACAGGTGGGGGGACAAAATCTCGAGAGCTTCCCTCCACCTTCCTGAGCCCAGTTAATTGTCTGAGAGGTGAGAGACCTTCTCAATGAATTTTAGCCTTGGCATAGGGTTTCCAGGAGGGTGCTTGGCTCTCTAGCACCTAGTTTGAAGCTTACATTCAACTGATGGCGCATCAAACTTTCCCAGTCAAGCATCATCCTCAAAACAAGCCTCCTTGCAGCCTAAGCCCAATTTAGCAGCTCATCAATTTTCCAGCTCAAATCTGACTGGGTTATGCTTTCTGCTTCCCTCTCCCACTTGCCAAGATGTCAAGTGCCTCTTTTTGCTGTCCAGTAGCTTCACCATAGCCTAACCTTTCTCTGTGAGGAGAGACTTTTAAGTAGCAATCCAGAACCAGCTTTGAGGAACCAGCTGTTCCAAAGCACAGCTGGGAATTAAGACCTTTCTGGTAGAAGCTTTTCTCATCACCAATGAGTTCTAAGGTGAACAATGGCTTCTAGCAATTTCCTTTAGGATCTCCCTATCACAGCAGGCTTTGAGCAATCATCTACATTGCATCTTTGCTCTTCACTAACTAATTGGAACCCTAAAATACAAGAAGATGACCCCCAAAATTGCAGATGAGCACAGGGCACCAAACAGGTACCCAGTTAGCTTGCTTCTGCCTGCCAGCTGATCTGAACTCTGGATTCAACTAGAAGCGCATGTACCACATGGTTGAGCCTACAGTTTGCAGCAGGCCCCCTTGCAGGCTACCTTACCTGCTCAGCTCAGAAGTGGAAAAATCCTTGGGTGAGCTTTAGGCTTGGACGAGACTCCAAGGAGCCCCATTCTCTCCAATTGCTGAACCTTTAAACCCAACCCCTCCCAACTGAGGTGGCAGGCTTGGCACCCAGATAATACCCTTACTCCCTGATAGTTTCCCTGACCCCTAGCATTCATCAGGAAGCTCGTAGTTGGGCTTCTGGCTGAGAGTAGACCCCCAAGTAGCCTCTTTCTGCTGACTAGCTTGACTAAACTCTGAATTCAGCTAGGAGGATGACAAATGGCACAGTGAAGGACCCAGCATGGCTCAGCTTTCCCTTCCTCTGACACTCAATCAAAAGCAAAGGATCTCCCAGATGAGCTACCCCAAGGCACCCAGATCCTAGAATTCAAATGGGTGATCAAGAAGCTATCAGTTGAGGATCAGGCTTGAAGCAGATGCTGGGGTAGCTCTTCCTAGTCTTAGCTCTCAGCTGGAGCTTCAGAAATATCCCAGCTGAGTATCATCTTTGGGGCAGGCTATCAATCACCTCCTTCGATTTTCACTAGTAGAAGCTGGTGTTGATTGGTAAGGCCTAAGCTTCCCAATTATATATCAGGCTTGTGAGGTTATCTAGGTAAGCCTACTGCTGCCCCCTCAGCTTGTCTCCTGCTGAACTGAGAGTTAAAAACATATCTCAGTTGAGTTTGGATGAAGCTTTCTGAAAACTCTCTTCAGTCCCAATATCTTCCTTACGAACTATAGCTTTGAGCATTTTTCAAATGAATCTCCTAACTTGAAATAAATTCTCAACTATTTATCTTGATACACTTCATATTCTGTTACATAATGCTAAAAAAGAACATGAGCAAAGTGGCAGGTAGAACAGAAGTTAAATAAGAAACTTCCTGGTTGTTTGTGGAACGTGGAAGAAGCTAACAAAGAGAGCTGAGTTCTCCTCATCCCCAGTTTTGGAACTTCTCCCTCAGCTTCCCAGCTGAACATGGGTTGCTACTTGCCAAACCCAACTGAAGTTGGAGCATTATCTGGAATATGAGGAGCCCATGGTTAGGTTCTGGTAGTACTACAGTTTGCCTGGTTAGTGAAATGCTCAACTGGGAGGCTCAGCTGAGACTTCAGGGATTACTACCTTACAAATTGCTCTAAGCCTGATATCAAGAATTTCAGTCTATTTGTTCCTTCAGCTAGTGAGATACACGGAAGATGGTGGTGACCAAGCTTTACTATTCAGCATCTGTTGGGAAACCTGAACCTGAGTTACCTTAACCTTCTATGTCTTGATCTTCCCAAACCCCAAATGTTGATGAATTTTGTACTTACCAAGCCAAGCGTCAGCTTCAGTTCAAATCATCAAACCTCTGCTGCCAATCTGTAGTCTGTCTCAGAATTTCCCCCTCACCTTGTTCTTAAAGAATGTTCTAAGAAAGAGTTTTTCAGGTTAGTGACGTTCTTTGATCTGGCGTGAAGGTGTGAAAAAAACAAGATCACTGAGGTCCAAGAGATATAATTGGGATCCAAGAGGTGCCATCTTAGAACAAAAAAGTCTCAGTCACAGAGAACTTCCCCATTTTCTTCCCCTAGCGATCTCTTTTTAGAGTCCCAAAGTTCCATCACTAGGCAAGGCCAAGCTGTCGAAATGAGCTGATGATTAATTAATCTGACCAACAGAAATGTCTAGATTGCTGTCTTTATTGTTTTAAGTTTCTTGCATAGTACTTCATTAATTAATCAATACTGTTATGTTTTTTCTGAAGAAGAGGTAAAGGCATTCTGGGGCATAAAACAAACTGAACCTGTCTTCCTAAATGGATATAAATCTTATGGAGAGTAGTGATATATATCTAATTATTTCATTTACTAGCAATTTTTTAAATATATTACCTAGGTTTTTAAAAAGCCCAAATCCAATGAGCATTAGTTGCCTTATATTTCCATGCTGTCTGTTCACACCACTCACATGCTTCTCATATCTTCTTATTAATCCATTTTATTCATCTTTCCCATTCTTTCCCTTTCCCCATTTTTATTTCATCTAGATCTTTGGGATCTTATGATTGGGGAGGGCAAGGCATTTCACTGATGTGGAATATGAGGGTGTGCACTGGGAATGGAGCCTGAAAGATTTGTACAAGATTTTCCAAAACTACCACAGAATAACTTTAAAAAAGGCCTTAAGCAGCACTTTCCAGCGAATAAAAGAAGATGAGGACTTCCAACCAGCAGTTGGTCCCTTAAAAGAACCTGAGCAATAAAAGCTATGAAAGAAAGTGACGTCTTGGTGGAAAAGAAGCTAATCTGCACTGACCACACATGGTGCCACGTAAAAGATAAGTGGACATGAGTTCTAGATCTGAGATCTCAGTACCAAGATCCACAGTAGTGCCAAGTTGTAGAAACTCTAGGTTCAAATGGCTCTCCTTAGTTTACATGTTTATTTGTGGGTGAAAAAAACCTATAGACACAATAATCAATTATCATATCTGTCTAAGCTGTGGATAAGGATTCCTGAGCCAGAAACCTTATGGAAAAGGTCAGTTTTGAAGAAGTCTTTCAAGGAAGGAAAAAAGTATTTTCCTATCTCTCTAAAATAAAAAAGGGGGTGGGGGAGGAAGTAAATTAGTCTCAGATCTGTTATACTTTCCTATATTTGCACTGATAATATCTACTTCGAAAACACAGAAGGAAGTGTTGTTTTTGTCAAGGTTTAACGCCCTCATGGGTTAGCCAACAAACAAACAAGGAAGCATAAAACCTCCCCTTCTAGAGTCCTAAATCCTGCCATAATCAGAGCTGGTTTAAGGAATTTGGGGACTAAATGTTCCAGCAGTGCTCACGAGGTGACCCTGGTGCATAATCCTAGATGAACATTGCAGGTGGATTTCCGCAAAAGGAGGTGGTCAAACAGTGTAATCAAAAGTGAATGTCCACAGAACCTGAGCTGCACATGAAAACTGTCTCTAGAATAAACAGATTGCATATAAAAACTGAATCCTTGCTACTCAAACTCTTTGAGGCCTGCAAGTTTATTGCAATACTTGAATGCATATTTTTATTTTAAAAAGTGTAATTCAGAGAGAGAGAGAGAGACTTTCCCTTGGCAGAGGCAGAGAGAGAAAATTACTACCCTTTATTCTGGAAATGTTATTTTCCCTGCTTTCCATGCTATACACTTATAGTAAACAGGGGAAATCCTATTGTAAGAGGTTAAAAGAAAATCTGACCTGTCAATCTAGCTAAAGCAACACAGACATCTGAAATGTGTAAAACTGTCAGGCTTACAGGATGGAGCAGGCCAAGAACTGACTCCACTTTGGCCTAAAACTATGCAGAGTACATCATGAGAAATGCCAGGCTGGAAGAATCACAAGCTGGAATTAAGATTTGATTTTTTTTACACCTATACCTTTCTATAAAACCTTTGAAGTTTGCTTTGCAAGGTGTGGTTTCTTTCAACATTTCTTGCCACGATGTTGATTGAGCCAAC